CAGGGGTTGAAATTCACTCGGAAGTGAATTGCAGAACCTGCCTGTATATCTATATCTTTGTTTCGATTTTTTTTTCTGATTTGGAAAATAATTTATTTGATTTTGGAAATTTGTTTTTTTTTTTTTGGAAATTTGTTTTTTTTTTTTGGAAAATGATTTTTTTTTTAATTATGGAGATTTTTCAAATATTTATAAAAAAAATATAAAAGAATTAAATATTTCGAAGCATGCATTATCAAATTTTATATATCAACTCTTGGGGCGGGCGAACTCACAGTATTTATATGTATATAATTCACATCTTTTTATAGTGAAATCTACGCAAATTCTATCACGGGTCCCAATAAAATTAAGTCAAACTAAGTTATTCTATTGTGGCTGCCTCCATCGAAAGTTGGAAAGAGACAGGCACACTTAGGCCGCAACAAGCCCATTTGGTACCGTTATAGAGGTCCTGTTCTTAAAGGTGAAAATCTGATGAAAGTCAAAATCGTCGATACTGGTCGCACTCAGTACAACCCGACACTCAAGATGGTGGAGATGGTCGACGGGTCATGCGTGGGAGCAGTGGCATACATAGGTGATGATGATCTACAATCTCGTCATCAAGCAGTAGTCCGTGATAACTCACAAAAATTTAACTACCATGAATTCAGCAATAGCGCTTAATGTATGTATATATCAAATTATGGCGCAAGCAACCTTTCAGTTAACAAAATCGATTACTCCATTTTGCTAACATCAGCTGCTAATCACTGCAGCGCTACTCCATCAATATGAATCACAGTAGAGCTGAAGATTAACAAACTAACGCCGACTTAAGAAAGAATAAAAAAAATATAAAAAAATTCAAGTTCATTTCCCTGCACAAATCTAAAAACACGAAGCTAGCAAATCATAGAAAAGATAAAAAAAAGTTTCAGAAAGAATGCAAAAAAAGTAAACGCTAATTATTTTTTCAAGTATAAAAATTTTTATTTTCACATTGGGTTTGGGATGTGTATACATGTGTGTGTGTGAGTGTGTATGTTGGTGTAAGTGTGTTTTAGGGTCACAGGCCAATTAAATTCTCTCATAAGTGATAAATTAAAAGTAAACAATTAAAGTAAATGTAGACAATAAAAATAAAATGTATTAATAATGAAAAAATAAGTTTAAATTTACATTTACGCTAAGTTTATTTTTACAAGTTTATTATACATAGTGGTGTTTTATTCTTTTTCGTTTTTTTTTTAACTAAAATTATGTAATTTTAGCTAAGCGAAGATAGTACAACGCTTTGCTTGCTTGCTTATTTATTTATTTATGCTTTTTATTCATGGTTACTTTATTGTATCTGTAATAAAATATACATATAGTATTTATATGCAAGTATGTATTTACAAAGTGCTAAAAATACACAATATTTATAACAAAACGCACTTAACACACACACGCACACCTGCGTCCAGATCACCGACAACACCCGTTGTGCATCGTCCACAGCTTCAAACAAGAAACACAGCAACAAGTATTTAATTAGGTATGGCATCGGGGTTGGGTATTTGGGTTAGTCGATGGGTGTGTGTGTGTGTTGTATATGCGGCGCTCACTCATTTTAATTCGTTCGTTAATTATAACTTTAATTATATTTATGTATTACTAAGTATGTAGTTATAAAGGATTATTAAATTTCATTTGATTTATTTTTTTTCATTTCTATTTTCCTCATTTTTATGTTTTTTGAAACTTAGTAAGCTAGTACCAAAAATTTATATACATACTACATATTTACAAAAAATGTGTGGACATGTATGCGGCGGCGAACGCGCAGGTGCATATTTCAGGCACACTATTACCTTTTTATTAATTACCTTTTTGATTAACCACAGCAAGGGCAGAAGTAACAATGAAGTAAGAGAGGAGGGAAGCGGCAGTAGGGTTAAATTATTTTTATTTGTAATTTGAGTACACCAATTAACGATTTCTATGCCTGCATAGAAAGCGTGTGCAACAAAAAATCAAAATAGCAGATTTGTGTAGACTGTCAATAAAGCAAACATTGGCGCGCGGGCGCACGCACGTCATCACCGCCGCCAACACCACACACCACTAGCGCTGCTACACTTACAGCACGCTGCTGAACTTGCGGTTATTTCATGTAAAATTTACACTTTTAAATTAAGATTTTTAGTTAAATAAACAGGGATGTTATCTACATAAGGGTGGTACGATCAATATTTTTTTTTTTTTTTTGAAGTTTTATAATAGAATACGTTTTATAACTGTAGGCATAACTTTATAATTTCCATGTTTAGTTTTTTTATTTTAGATTTTAATTTGATTGTGTATATCAACACTTATAACTAGTTATTTTAATGCTATTAATTCAATTTTTTTTTAACTTTTATTTTAATTTTAATTTAAATATTCAGGGCTATCACTGAATTCATCGCAGCCCGATTTTTCGTGAATTCTTCGAAAATTCTACGAAATAGTTACGAACTTAGCATATAATTCGAATACATAACGCTTGTAGCAATTCGAATTCTGCGAACTACGATTGATTCAGCAATAGCCCCGATTAGCTTTTCTTCAGAACTAAAATGTACGCATATATAACACATTTATTTTAACACACATACATATTTTTACGCTGATTTATTTTAAACTGTTTTGTACTATTTTAGAAATTTTGCAGATTTTTTTTTTATTTAATTTTTTTTTCAACTTTATTCCTGCCTATTCACTGCCACTTAATATTATTTTTAAATTTTTAAAAAATTTTATTTTAAGTTATAATTTAAGAAGCACTTAATTTACGTTATACATTTATGTACATATGTACATAAAGGTAAGTAGCGTTAATTTTTATAATTTTTTATTAATTTTTAATGCGCCGCCTCCATTTTCGCTGTAGTTGAATAATGACTGCGTGTTAGATTGTAGCAGTAAAAGTAAATTATGTGAGTATGTTGAAAAAATGTATGAAAAAATATATTGAGGTTTAAAAATTATGAAACTGGTATAAAAACTAAGCGACTAACTAGAATGTTATTGTTAAAAAATATATAGCTTCGACACATCAAACAACTGGAAAGCGCAAGATTGCCAAAAGAATTAAGCATAGCTCAATTTGTAAGGAAAAGCCTGAAGTTTTTTTTGTTTGAGACTGCTTTAAATTTCATCATAGCTTCCTTAAATTGTTTATTTGTGTCGAATTTCTAAATTAAGAATTATTCTTAAAGTAAAAAAATAATGATTAAATAAAAAATAGAATATTCAGTTGAATTTTCCGGCGGAGTGTCTTGGCATTCTACGGACTTTTTGTTTATCTCTGCGTTTTCTGAGCATTTCAAAGGCATTTTTTTTGCGAATTTTTTGTTTTGAAGCGGTTTAAGGCGAAAAAATAATTGTTGCCAGCCATCGTTATCAGCGCACAGTTTGCTTAATTCAATATTTCTGCATTTTGCATTTTGACTTTTTTTAATTTTTTTTTCAGCCGCATAACGAGAAAACCAATTTACGAGTTTTTTAATGAACTGTTGTTATTTTTGCTTTGTTTTTCCAAGTTTTTATTTTATTTTTCTCTTTCACATACCCCTCATATACCCAAAAAATGTAGATAATGCTTTGAGCAACAAAAACAAAGAAATTTATATATACACTGATGTAAGCAGTTGAGTAAAATTATAAAAAAAAAATACTTTGCATTGACTTATATTAAGTATACGCTGTGGATTTTGATTATATTAAATAGGATTTAGAGTACTACAAAACAGCATGGAAATATATAAAATAGTAATTGTGTTTCATATACATAGCTCACGGCTTATTAACAGAAATTTTGAATTAAAGAGAAACTGGAAAATGAGTAATGAAATAATAAAAGAAAGGGAAAATAATTAAATAATCCGAGAGCTTGAAATGTTAAATGTACGCACAGCGATTCATTTGCCATGCTCTTTTGAGTAACAGCAAGCAATGATTTTCTAGATAATGTTTTATGTAAATAGCAGTATGCGTTTTTTTTCAGGTTTTGAAACTAAAAATAACGAATTAATGCAACATAAATATAGAGGTTTTTGTGGTCATCAAATTAATATACAACAAAATCCAATCAAAAGCGAAACGTAAAGTTGTAAAGTATTGGATGTAAACGATTTGACGCTTATAATTTCCTTTTAAAAAAGTGCTAACTATGGTGATCTTACAAGGAAAAGTGCTAAATAAAATCCTGCTGCAAAAGTATTTCAAATAAGCAGAATATAATTAAAGATTAGCATTGATGTTTTAAACAAAAACTTCGCTGATTTGGCACGCTGACAACATCAAAATGACTCAACGCATATTTGTTTTCAGCATTTACTGCTTTACGCTTTCTCATTGTAAACTAACATTAATTATTTATATTCATGCTGCAATTAACTAATTTTAATTTATATTATTTATTTACATTTAGCATTTAACTTCATTTTAATAATAAATTTCTTTATAGGCTGTTAAACTAAAAACTTACTCTATATTAACGTCTGTGGTATATAAAGCAAGTATGTACTATGTAGGGGTATTGAAAATTCATTTAACATTGTTGCTGCTAGTTTGTGTTAATATTTAACTCATAAACATCGCGCTCCAACAAGTTGCTTATTTCTTTTCGATTCGTTTAGTTATAAATTTTTGTCTAAAATTTTTGGCTATTTTTTCAATTCTACTCTGCCATAAATAAGTACATATACATATGTATGTTACAAGTAAAAAATTAGTAATCTCAAGTGCAACAGCAGACTGGTTTAAGGAAAGATAAAATTTCAAATAATCGCTTTAATATTGCATCTTTTGCTGGTGTCTTCTTGCACTGGCGCTACTGTAGTACTGCAGTTCTTACTTGGTTTATTAGCAACCTTACCAACACATTAGATAAATTGCTACCATATCTCTTTTAACCAGCACATGAACTTTTTTCATTTACTTTGCCTACACCATCTTGATTCCTTCACGTCGCTGAATCATTGCCACTTCTCACCGCAACAACTGTGGCCTCATCTCTTGATGGAGTGGCAGCTCTCGCCGCATTGGCAGTTGTTTCTGCCTCATTCGACCACTTATGACTTGAGCTGGAGGTGGCGGTGGTGCTTGTCGCCCGCTTACTTGTACTTGCGCTACTGCTACTAACACAACCTCGTTCGGGACTTGCATCTCGTGATGATTCCCGCGATGTCGGCGATGATGATGAAGATGAAGAAGAAATTTCTTCAAGACAATTGTCCAAATTGTCTGTGGACGAGATGCTGTTAGTGCGATTCACATAGAGATCACAATCTGAAATTTGTGAGAGTAAAAGGGGAAAAGTTGACGTTAATTTTGAGGTTATAAAATTATTTTTAAGCTCTAAGCTATTGATCATCGACTCCTTAGTTGATTTGCAAAAGGATATAGAACACATAAACGCGTTTTTCAAAGAGCTCTAAGTGTTTAAAGCAATGAAAAGGCAACTATCGACGCTACTTACCCTTTTTAAGACTTGCAAACTCACTGGCTGCGCTGCTTAGCGATGATACACCCTTGTTCATGTTTCGCAGTAGCTTCAAACGTTCACATAGCTTTTCTTGTTGCTTTTCAAGTAGTGTAGGCGCGGCGCTGAACTGGCCTGAAAAGCAATATAGTTATGTTATTGGTATTTATAAGTTAACTAGCCGGCCACGGAATTTATGCATATGTATGTACATTTACGTATTTGGAGAAGGAAATCGTATGTCATCATGTACTTCGTTTATTATATAGATAAAAAAATCTTGTCTAAATCCGTTCAGTAGCGTGTTTAACTTATCTCGCCTTTCCCTTATACTATGTATAGAAGGTAGTAATTTTAAATAGGTGGCAACCCTACTCAAAAAATTAAAGTTTTTGTTTATGCGAAGGCTATGGGCCATGCACTTTCATTTGGTATCTCATTTCTAATCCAACGAACGGCGATCTTTTAATTTTTAAACGGGTGGCAACCCTATTCAGAAAAATAATACATTACACATCCAGAGGCTGTCTTTTTATTTGACAATGACGGTGCAAAACTGACGCCTACGCTTATTAGAATTGAATATAGTAATTTTCTTAACAGGTGGCAATCCTATTAAAATTCTAATTATCAATACAGAATATATTAGAGAAAATCTCGTCAAAATCCGTTCAGTAGTTTTCGCGTACAAAGAATCTCGACTTTCCTTTATACTAAGTACATATATAGATTTTCTCATGATTTTTTTTTAATAAAATTTTTACAAATCTATACAGTTCAATTCATTTTTAATTTATGATTATTTTACGGGGTTTCTTGAAAGCTCACTATATTTTATATAGCGTTCGTTTTTAATAATAAAGAGATGTGACTCAAAATTTACGTTTTCGGAGATTTCATTATGCAATTAATAAGCTTGGCGAGTAGAATATGTTCAGTCTAACAGATAGCCAAACTTACCAAGTAATGGCGAAGATATATGTATTTCCATCTATATTTTTGTATACCAACAGTATGAATTGATAAAACATTGATTACGTTTTCCCACAAAATTAAAATTTTGAAATACTTCGTTATATTATTAAACGTGCGATATTTCCCCACACCAAATATTCATATCCATAACACTCACCTTTCCTGCCATCATCTTCGTTATTCAGATTTGTCGATGATGTATCACTCGTATTGCCACAACTGCTGCTGCCGGTGCTGCTGTTCAACAGCCCCGTCACATCATCGTATGAAGCACTGTGACGCTTATGGTGCTGCTCTATCTCGGATCCACTGTGATGGCGCTTGCGCTCCGGCGAATTGAGTGTGTATTTGTTGAGTGTCAGCGTTGTTGGCGAAGAGGACAATTGCCTGGCCATCTCCTCAGGCGAAGCATTAACAATACTGTTATAAGCTTGCACGAAACTGTTGTTCAAGGAATTTGACATCAAATTGCTGGCGTTGCCTGGTGTTGTTGGTGCACTAACCGACGTCGCTGGCATGTCGGGTGTACCAGGCGTTGTCGCATCCGATGACAACTGCATACGTTTACGATACTCGTTGATAGAAAGTTTGCGCTTCGGCGCAGGTGGTGGTTCAGGCAAATTCAACTGTGGATTAAGACGCGGGTCATGGCTGGCTGTACGTGTGAGCGGCAATTTCATTGGTGTTGGCAATTTACTGACTACCGGAGCCTCAATTGCTATAGCTGCGACGGATGAGTTTTCTACAACAGTATTGCTGTTACTGGACGTGCTGCTATTCGTTGCTTTTCCCACGCTCTGCAGCAAGCTGCTTGTGTTGCTTACGCCGCCGCCACTTATATACGCATGTGTCTGCGACACGTAAGCGCCCATTGTTGTGCTATAGCTTTTTACTTTGGTGTCCAAGTACTCAGATAGGCTTATGTTTGCTGAGACAATTGTCTGTGCAGCGTTAACTGATGTGCCAGTGGTGCCGGCCAACGGCGTCGCTGCACTGCTCAGAGTTGACGACACTAAGACGGGAGAAGTATCACGTAATTTACCATAAATACTGTTATACGTCGAGGCAGCGGTATTGTTGGCAGGGCTGTTACAAGCCAGCAAACTGGCGGGTCCAGCCTTAGGAGAATGCGCCGCGAGCGGCATAGTGGCTGCGCCAACAACAACCGATGGTAGCGGCGGCGGTAAAGTGGTTACACAAACGCCCGTCGCTGAAGACATCGTTGGCAGTGGCGGCGTGTGCGATACCGCAGCGGCCAAATGGCTGAGCGTGGGTTGCATTGGAAGCGTCTTCAGTAGACTATGCGTCGGCTGCTGTACAGAGCTGGATGGTGACGGCAACGCCGGCGTTGGCACATAAGTGGCGATCGGTGTACCCATAGAAGGATCGACACTGCTGCAAGGCACCGCGCCGATGCCGCTGAAATAGGCAGCCATGAGCGGTGGTGGTGGTCCGCTCACAACCACATTATTGAAATGAGGTATGGCAACATGCTCGCGCACATACACGGCTGGCGGCAATGGTGACGCGTGCGTTCCTGGCAAAATGCCATTCTGTTCCGCTACAGACGTTTGTTTGTGTATTATAGTCTCTTTTTGCTGCTCTGGCACCCCACCGCTGCTGTTGCTATTATGGCGGTGTCGACTGCTGCCGCCTGAAGAGGAGGAAGACTCGCGTCGTTTGCGTGCTGCCGCCAGACTACTGCTGCTATTACTCGAGCAGGTAGAGCTGACCATTTCATCACGACTGTCACGGCTCCCGCTATCTTTGCGGTGACGATTGCTATTGCTTGTGGCGGCATTCACCAGGGGCAAATCTTTGGTGAGTTCCTGCTCAAAGTTAAGTTGACGCTTCTTAGAGATGGGTGGCGGTGCCGTAGGAGTGGTAGATGCTGCGGCCACAACTGATTGTAACACTGTATTCGTGGAATTCGAGGACGAAGTGGTACGATGGCGATGATGATGACGTTCTTTATCGAATCCACGCTCCCTGTTGTTGTCACGATCGCGGCGCTCGTCACGATCCTTGGAGTCACCACTCCCAGACGCATTGCTGTTGCTATTTGAATTGTTGTAGCTCGCAGAACTATTGCTGTGTGGCTGTTGTTTTGATATCGACACTGGTGTGGTGCCTCCGCTCACCTTGCCGCTGCCGTAATCCTTTTTATGCGACGATGATAATTTCTTTGAGCAGGTTGAAGGAGTGGACGCGGTCAATTTGCCGCTGTGTGACAATGAACGGCTACTGCTACTGTGCTGCTTACCGCTTCGGTCTTTTTTGTGCAGCTTCTTCGCCGAAGACGAGCCGCTGCTGCCCGAATTGGTAAACGACTTCGAAGTTCCACTACTGTGCTTGCTGCTGCCGCCGCCGCCGCCAACGCTTTTTGCAGACGCCGCTTCATTGTGAGTATGTGCATGTCCGTGGTGACTGTGGTGAGAAGAATAAGCGCTTGCGGTCGACGATTTGTTCTCGCCTAATTGCTTGGCACCTTTGCTCAACTCTGCTGTAGAATTGCTACCGATTGCTGTGGCTGTTGCTGAATTTGGCTTTGACTTCTTGTTGTTGCGCGATTGTAAGATTAGTATATTCTCCTTGTGGAAGGAATGCAGGCATGCTTGGATGTCATCATCGGTGAGCGGCACTTTGCGTTCGTTGCTATTGTTATTAGTAGCGTTTTGTTTGCGTGTCGCGAGCGCGGTAGATGCACTACTTATATTGCTGCTGCTGTTAGGCGGTAATGCTGTTGGTGGCACATTTGCGCCAATTACACCGCTGCCAATGTCCGCCGCGGTAGCCATGATATTGGGCGAAGCCGCGATCGTCGGCAATGCGCTATTGGAATAGACAAATACTGACGCACTGGTTGTTGTTGTTATTGCTGCTGCTGTTGTATTTGTTGCAGCGACTGGTGGTGTTGTTGGGGGCGTTGTTGCTGTGGTAACTGGTGCCGGCGGCGGTGGAGGTGGCGGCTTACGTTCAATAGCAGCGGCAGCCGCTGCTGCTAAAAATGTCATACAATTTGGATGAACAGCAGCTGTTGTTGCCGTTGTTGCAAGTGCTTGTGCGGCCGGTTTGATGTTTGCGATCGAAGTTGTTGTCGCGGTCGGCCTTGTTAAGGCAGTTGGCAAAGTAGCTGCTGCGTGCACAATATTATGGTTATTGTTGTTTCCCGCGACGCTAATGCTAGCACTTGCCGTACTTTGTTTTGGCATTTCGAACATTCGCGCGGCCAATGGCTTGAGTAACGAAGTTTGTTGTGGCTCCGGCAACGAACTTGTAGATTCTATGGACGACTCCAATTTTGGACGTTTATTTAGGGGTTCATCGGGCGAAATGGTACTGATGCTACCGCCATCGAGCGTAAGCAATTTCATTTGCGGTAGCTGAGTTGGGAATAGCGGCTTTTCATCGGCTGAAATTGACGTTTTATTGTGTGGGGCGGAGTCCAACGAATCCATAGATTGCTGCGACTCTATCTTAAAGGACGACTTTTCTTCAGCCGCCAGCTGTAATTCTTGCTTCGGCAGGGTTATTTTTTGATCCTGTGCACATGGACTATATCGCTTACAGTCCGCTGAATTGGAAATGTCAACCATGACTGGCTTTATATTTTTCTCATCCTCTTCTACATCCAATTTCACCTCAACTTCAACATCAGCTGCCATTGCTGTTGACATTGCTGTTTGCTCAGCAGCTGCTGATTGTGCTTCCTCCTCCTTCTTCACATGCAACACTACCATCTCTTCAAATTTATCACCCGCCAAACTCTCTTCGCGCTCTACATCGATCTTGACATCTTCGCCACCACTGGTGTCTTCCGGCTCTATTTTTACCAAATTATCCTCGGCCGCCAGCATTTGTTGATGTCCTGGACTGGGTGAACGCAATATATCAACATCATCATCTTGATCAATGATCATAGGTTCGGGTTTCATCTCTTCTTCTGTGGCTGTCAATCGCTCTGCCACGTCTTGCTCCTCTTTTGTAACAATTTCATGGTTAATACAATCTTCGGATGCTCGTTCGTTTGCAGCTATCGTTGTGTGAGTTTCATTAACGCTTAAGCCACCTACCACATCTACATCGTCGCGCTCTTCTTCTTCATCATAGTCCTCGTCGTCTGCTTCTCCATCATCACTCGACCCAGCCTCAGTCTTCATGCCTGCTACTGCACCCCTACCACTCACATTCATTACATCCACCTCCGTTTCGGTACTGCCTACAGTCGCCAAATTCGTCGCCTTAGCATCTTGCTCTGTCGCGCACCCACCCGGCATTGGTATTTCAGATTTTACTAGTCCAATTATTGGCGACTCGAAAGATATATTAGCACCTCCACCAGCTGCTGGTGAGTGCACAATGCTGCCTCCAGCATCGTCTTCTTCCTTCACATTGCCACTGATGATAGTCGTCGCTTCTTAAGCGGCGTCGTAAAGCCATTGGGCACATTAATCACTGCGCTGAGGTGCGCCGTCGTGACTGCTGCTGTAGGCGAATCGATTTGCAGGCTAGCGGCCATTGCTGCTGTGGGTGTTGGCGTCATCGCCTCATCTGTGGTAGTTTCTTCGCTAATAGCCTGTCGCAACCAGCGTTTCTTTACCGAAGAATTATTGCTGCAAGTGCTAACTTGTAGCGGCAGATGTAGCAGATTCCGCGGCGCAGCACTGACACCAGTGACTGCTGTCGGATTGTACACCACGTTGTTTCCGCGTTCCGTTTGCTGTATAAATTCCTCGACCTTCTGCGCAGCCATGCTGAGATTTTGTGGTTCATCACAAGCCACGGGAGCGGAGCACAGTCCTTCGACTGTCGCAGCATAGTTGACGTTACACTCGGGTTGTTGTTTACTGTAATCACACATCGTTGCTGCTTGTACTAGAGAATCCAAACCAAGTGTAGCGGTGGAAGATGGCATTGGCGCGGAAGTGGCTGTCTCGCCAGCCACTGCTACTGCCGAAGACACTGCCTCTGCGGAAGCATTATTTGTCATAGGTGGTGGGGGTGGTGTTGGTGTGCCGGGCGGTGGGGAATCACTGCCGCTGGTATCCGCATCTACTTGATGTAGCAGCCAATTAGACATGAGCACTTTTTTCGTCTTGGTCTTATTAGGGTACTTAAACTCGCCACTCGGACTGCCGTCCATGTGTTCTTGCAAGGGACCAACTGCAGCCTCGATCAGCAGACAAGCCGAGCTCACCGGTGTAGCAGGTGGAGATGCAGCACTACCGCCGCCTGTTGGCGTTCTATGTTGCGGTGATTTCAACTGTTCGAGCGCATACTGTGGCGGCGTGTATTGTTGTTCTGGCTGATGCTGCAGCTGCTGCTGCTGCAGTACCGGAGATAAGACCTGCGGTGATTTTTGCAGCGTTGGTGACATCTTTATGTCGGGATTCGCTAAAGCTAGCAAAAGACCGGCGGCCTGATCTTCATTAGTAGGCGCTATTGTATCAACGACAATTTCGTTGCTATCGGGATGCATTTGCACATAATTTTGCGCAGCTGTGACAAGCGGAGCTGTTGGTGATAACAACGATGTTGACTCTGCCTCCGAATGTGCTGCGCACTCACTAATACCACCACTGCCTACGGCAGCAGTTGTCGTCAAACCAGCACCACTAACGCCAGCGCCATCTGCGGATTCGTTGCTGCTATTGATGCGACTTTTGCGTCGCTTCCTCGCCTGTGCACTGTGACCACTGTACGATTTGTGCGCCTTTCGCTTTTTTTTGCGCGCGGAGACCGCTGAAACGCGTCCACTGCTGATGCTAGCGCTCATGTCGCTGCCGGCTACGGATTTTGTGGGCGTAGTTGGCGAATTGCTGTTACTGTTGCGGCGCTTAGCGGCAACTGAGGCATTGCCACCCGATTTGCCCTGTTGATTTTTACGAAGCTGATTTCGCTCCATTTTTTCAATGGCACGTAGGATTGCCTCCATTTTACGATCTTCACGCGATAGCTTCGGCTTCTCCTTCGATGTTGGTAGGACTGATGGGTCTTCATTTACGCTACCGCTGCTAGTATTGTGCGCATGATCGTCCTCAGAGAAGCTAGTAGAGCGCGAGCCCGATGACTTGGCGGGCGTTTTGCGCGCACTACTCGAGGGTAAACAAGACACTCCGGCGACGTTGGCATTGACGCCGCCTTGCTTCTGTGGCGATTTCGAACCAGCGTGCGGTGAGGTGGCAACAGCTCCAAGCGGCTGGGGTTGCGGCGGCGGCAATTGACCTGTTATTGTGTTCAGTTGCAGCTGGTGGTCCTGCTGCTGTTGTTGTTGTACTACTGACGGCATGCCACCATCGGTGACATCGTGAAGCGGTGGAAGCTGCATTGTAGTAGCGACATAGTATTGTGTTTGTTGTTGCTGCAGATGCTGCAGCTGCTGCTGTTGTTGTTGTTTTTGTGGTTCGACATCGCTAACATTTAATGCATCAGATGACGCTGTAGATTCGGGAACGGCTATGGCAATATTGTTATTGGATTGGCTTAGTGGGACATTCACTGACACCGACATATTAGTACCAGTCAGTGTTACGGCGGTGTTAAGCGATTGCAAAGCCGCTGCTGCAGCTAGCGATGCATCGCTTATTGTAGGGCCGATAAGAACGTTTTGTATTGGTTGTTGACTTAGCTGTTGCACATGCATTTGCTGTTCTTGCGCCTGACTAATGGACAAATTCAACTGTTGTTGTTGTTGCGGCTGCTGCTGCGTTTGCTGCTGCTGCTGTGGCTGCTGCTGCTGCTCCGGCTGACTAATCGGCTGTTGTAACGTAATTGGCGTGGCTTCGGGTGTAGGAACTTCATCCAGCAGTGGCGCATGTGTTTCGTTAGCCACCGCGTCCACAACGCTCTGCTGCTGAGGCTGCCGTTGTTGCTGTGCAACTTGCTGTGGTGGAGACAACAGCAACGGCGTTGGCAATGCACCCAAGATCTGTTGATGCTGTTGTGGACTGTGTTGCATGAAGAGGGCACTGTTGCTGCGCTGTAAGGTGGTTGTAGCGGGTACAGTACAAGTCTGCTGCTGTGATTGCGTCGGTGAGTGTATGTGTAGAGCAGAAGGTGACGGTATGGACACTGATGGCGATGAAGATGAAGTACAAATACCAGAATCGTGCATTACACTCGACACGGAGGAGGTCGCGCTCATGTTACCATTGTTATTAGGCACCATCACTGCTGAAGTGGCTAGCGCATGTGCGGACAAAATGTTAAGACCGCCATTACTCTTGAATGAGTTGCTGCTGCACATATTGGCGTTCATATTCAGTGGTGCTACTGCAGGCAATGCAACATTTGGACTATTCATGCCACCACCGGCAGCACCACCGATGCTGCTATCGCCACTTGATGAAGTCGAACGATTGCGATTCATATTTTGTGCACCACCCTTCTTTTTATTTCCAACTCCTGACGTTGGCAAACCACCCATTGTGAGTTGTATGGCAGCTGCACTGCTATTTAATTGTACGCCACCATTTAAGGTTGTGGCGAGCGACGACTTGCGGCTGCTAGATTTCGTCGCGCCGCCTGCTAAGGACTGTTGGGTTGGTGGTGGGCCAAAGAGACAATCCTTGAGTAGACCGCATGCGCATGCCGTGCTTGTTGGCTGCACGATGCAGTTGCTCGAAGTTGCCTTTTTATTCTCTATAGCCAGCAAGTCGTGTGGCTCGTGTTTAATGGTAATCTCCGTACTGGCGCGGATACGCATCGTTGCAACAATGAAAAGGTGTATGGTGCCCTTTTCGAAGAGATGCTGTATCTCGGCATTAGGGCGACAAGAACGGCGAACAAAACGTGCCTCATTGCCGTAAGTACGCGTGTCCACGCATATTTCCGGACCTTTAAGGTATGCTGGCTGCGGCGGTATTGGTGGATATGATCCATCTTCATTCATCGTTTGCATAGGCGCCTCAGCATCGGGCAGCTGGTAGAAGAAAATGAAAGGACCAGGAGTTTTATGCGCCTTCAGACTAGCTGCTAGATAATTGCTTGGTGGCGGTGAATTCATATTCACCGATGCATTTTGCGTCTTATACTGCGGACTCAGCATGTATTTGCCACGTAATTCGAAAATTGGAAAACTTGGTGCAATGTCCATGTTGCTTATAAGTATTTTACCGCCCGCGTGTGGCACTGTAGTGGCGCGATTCTCCAAATCATTGTTGCAGCAATCCTTCAACGCGCGATTCTCCGTATTTAGTATGCTCTGTAACAGGCTGGGTTGCTTTGTGATGGCATGAAGGCGCGCGCGCAACTCAGGCGAATAGTGATTCGTTACGGCCAATTCATAATTTTCGATCCATTGTCGCAAATTTGCTGCATGTTTTTCAGCGGCTGTCGCACTTGCACTCGTACCATCACCGCTCTTAGTTTTACGTTTCGTTGTCTTCTTTGTGGCTGCCGAATCTTTGCGCGGCGGTTTGCCACCTGCTGTCGAACCTACACCAAGTTTATCCGCCTTTTTAGATTTCTTGCCCCCAGCTGTGTCTTTGGCGGTTTTCTTCAAAACTTTGCCCTTCTTTGTAGTGCCGGACGTTGTACTGTTCGGCAGGCCTTGCAGCGCGCCATCTCCGCTGCCGCCCATCATGAAAGCGCCCGCACCCCCACGTTGCTGGCCATCACCCAGTTGATAGTTGCCACCCATATTGGAGCCACCACTTAGATAAGCGCCACTGGAACCAGTTGCATGCGCCGATTGTGCTGAGAGCAATAGCTGAGTTTGCTCCTTGCGTTTCATTAACTGCAAGGCACGTGCACGCGCCTTGTCCACCTGTCGCGGTTGGCACACTTCACACTGGTACTCATCGGGTATATTTTGGCGATCGATGCCCATACAGTCGACATGTTGCCAAGCGCTACAAAAGAAAAACAAATCCAAGAGTTAGAGTATGGGTCAGAAAATTAAATGAAATAAAAGAAAGAAGAAAAAATATAATAATGGGCCTTATTAATAAAATCTAAGCAATTGCTTTTTCAAAAAAATGTCAGACCTTTTACTTAAATTCCTTTCAATAAATCGAGTCTGGAATTTTAAAAGCAATTAATTGCCTAGAAAATAAATGGATATTAAGCCAAAGAGAATATAGAATCCAAATAAACCAGCTTTAACCAAAGAAAAGAACAAGAAAACTTTTAAAAGTATACCAAAATAAAAAATTTTAACCAAATACTTTAAATATTTTATTAAAAAACTGCCTTTTCTACTTACAAGCATTTATCACAACATATCATATAGCCATCATCATGCGTCAAATCACAGATGCAACGAGTAACCGAATCATCTTCGGCCTCAGCTTCAGGTGCTGTTTCGGTCTCTTCACCAGGATCAATATCGCCAGTAGCGACACGCGAACCATTACTAATTGCTGAATGTGCATCGTCATCTTGCTGCATACGGGGTACTGGTAAATATAAAATTAATTTTTATTGAATTTATAAATCTATGTATTTATATTATGGAGAAAAAATGGAAAATAAATCCCACTTGTTTGCTATAAATGGCGTAAAAAAAAAGTCTGATATATTAAAAATGTGCTACTCACTTTGCTGTCCGTGCAAGGTGTATGTCGACTGACCACTGGATGGTGGCGTTGGTAGCACCCCTGATGAACCCACCTGGCCCGAGGCCACAGCCGCCCCAATGCCGCCTAATGACCACTGTTGCGCACCGCCTGTATTGCCCGTCAATGCCGATTGCAAATGCGACTGTGTCGTTCCACTAGCACCCCCAATGCCTGCTTTTCCCATTTGCTGTGCATTCGTGCCACCACTCTTTGTAGTGTCTGTACCGGAGAGATGCGCCGGCATAGCATTAGCATAAGTGTGATCCTGTTGAACAGCATGCAAGATGCGCAAGCGCATATCTTGCGTATTTACTGGCGCCGGGCGCACCTCTTCGCCAATAATATCTTCATCTTCACCAGTCCCAGCAGGTACACTAGTGTTGATGCCAGCTACTGCTGTACTGTTCGTGGCAATCGTATAGCTGCTGTTACCAGCTGCCACGGCCGCTGTGGTGGCCGCCAGCGAAGATTTCAATGTTTGTAGGTGAATTATCTGTGCTGACGAATGTTGCTGCTGCTGTTGCTGTGTGTCAAGCGGTATATTCGATGTGCTAGCCGATAATGAAGCCGACGCATGTGAACCCTGCGTGCCATAATGATTTCCACGCCCACCTACACCACTGTTATTTGCTTTATAATAGTCAACAGCACTTTTACGTGTGATGGTTGTGCTGACCTCATATGACTTGTTGCGCTCCAAAGAATGTGAGCGACTACCGGGCGCGCTATGTGTTTGACGACCGATTCCGCCACCAGATTGTTGAGAGATTGCTGCATAGACAGCACTACTACCGGCGCTGCTAGTATGTACACCCGCAGCAGAGAGTGGCAAGTAAGCATTCGCCGATACAGGCCCCTGTTGCACAGTTGTGCTGTATTGTGTATTGATTGTTGAGGGCGCTGACAATTGCTGTTGCTGTCCCATCTGCTGTTGTTGCGCTGATAGTTGGCCAGCGCTATATAGCGGATATTCTTTGGGCGAGAGCAGCACAGATGTTGGCGAAGGATGCTGCTGCAATACAATTTGCTGTTGCTGCTGCGTTTGCTGTGCTGTCGGCGGTGGCATGACAACCGACTTTGGTTGCTGCTGTTGCTGGTAGCGTTGCTGATTGCCGAATGACTTTTGCGCCATACTCTGTAGTATGCGTGCTGACAACTCGTCTGTCATTTGTGTGCCATTAACGATCATAATATCATCGTTGAGCAACGACTGTGAATTGTTGCCGCTGTTGTTGGCGGAGTGCGTTTGTGACTGGTAAATATTATTGCCAGTGGCGTTATCTTTAACAATGGCGCCAGTTGGTGCGTCGACGAACTGTATTTGATGTTGTTGCTGCTGCTGACGTAACGTTACTTTCGATTGTTGCGGTTGCTGCATGGGCAATGTTGGCTGATGCTGCTGTATGACTGTTGCGTGCGTCGAATTTACAAATTTGATGGTGTTGCCGACGTTATTGGTATTATTGGCACTGCCACCCGCAAGTGTGACAACATTGGTACTTGTTGAAAACTGCTGCTGTTGTGGTACATTTTTGTGATGCAGTTGCGTGCTTTGTGGCAAAGATGCGACATGTTGCAGCTGCTGTTGATGTGATACATATTTATTGCTAGACATTTTTGTCACCTTTGTCGTCTGCTGCAGTTTATGACCTCCACCGTTATTACTAACTGTGTAAGTGCCCAGCGGTTGTTGATGCAACATGTTTACGCCGCTACTATTATTATTTATAACATTATTGTACTGTTTGAGCAACTTCGATGTTTTAATTTTGCCACTGCCGCTACTCTGATATTGAGGCTGGTGTAGCTGATATTGTTGTTGCTGCTGCTGTGTGATATAGGTCGTTTTCACACCCTGTTGTTGCTGCATTTGCATGTTGTTCACCACTTTATTGTTACCATGAGAAATTTTTAAATTATTCGACTTCTTCAACATATTGCCAGCGTTACCAGTAACGCTCACACTCTTTGTTGTGGCACTGCTGCTCAAATACTTTTGCCCTCCTACAATAGGTTGCACCAGCATTTGCGTCTGCTGCTGCTGCTGGGTTTGTGGTCCTGTGTTTGCTGTCATTGACGTACCAGCCGCCGACGATGGCTGTTGCATGACAGTCTGCACCCGCGTAAGCATTTGTACGTGGCGCGGTACAGAGAGCTTTTGATAAAGCTGCTGCGGTTGCTGTGATGTACTCTGGCTCGCCTGTTGCTGCTGTTGCGACTGTTGTATATACGTGGTTGACGTTAGCTGCTGTGACTGTTGCTGCTGTTGTTTTACACCCGTCTTGTAGGTGCCCGTTACGGTATACTTTTGTGTTTTTCCACCACCTGCAGTAATAGGTGTGGCAGTTGCCGCTGCTGTGGTTAAATACGACAAGTTTTTAGCACTCATATAATTTATTGTTTGTCCCGGTTGTGATTGGCCGCCGCTGCTAACGCCAACCGTGTGCTGTTGCTGCGCGCCCAAGCTGCCTCCTGAGCCCACAGCCACCCCACTAGTTGCCGACGTGTTCGGCGCGTTAGGAGCTTGTTTTGCCAACACAGTTAAATTGCTTAGCAATACTTTGGATTGGCCACCGACGGCGGCAGCGCTGCCGCTGTCGATAATCATGTTGCCTGTAGTGCCATCTGTGGCTACTATTTTGAAGATCTGCGGATTCAGCACTTCGCCTGTTGTTGATATCATCATGTTGGTGGCTCCCGAAGCAGTTGCTTGTTCAATGAATTCTTCGCTCACTTGAATTACCTGCTGCTGAGGCTGTGCCTGTGATGGCTGCTGGAGATTTTGTTGTTGCTGCTGCTGCTGTTGTGAATGCATTTGTTGAGACAGCTGATGCTGCTTTTGCACATGTTGCTGCTGCTGCTTCGACGATATATGCTGCTGCTGCTGCAACTGTGATGTGGCCAGATGTTGTGACTGTTGCTGATGTATTTGATGATGTTGCTGTTGTGGATGTATTGTTGTATGCTGTATTATTTGATGTTGTTGTTGCTGATTCATCTGTACTAATTGGTGTTGCTGCTGCTGCTGCTTTGCATTAATTTGTAGAATTTTCGTGTTGGTTGCTGCTCTCGTAATGGTAGTATTATTGCTACACTTCTTACTCAAATTGCTGCTGTTACTATTCTTTCGCTGCTGTGCACGTCGCATTAATGGCAACTGCGATTGACTTCTACTACTAGTATTTTTGTTGGTGCTAGCAACATTATGTTTTTTCTGGTGGTTTTGCTGCTGTTGTTGTGGTTGGCGTACATCATTCGTACCATAGTATTCAAAATATTTTCCAACCGATGTTGCAGCTCCAACGCTTGTGCCCTTTGCTATTGTTGACTGCTGTGTCTGATAAAACTGCTGTTGCGACTGTTGTATAGCTAAGTTTGCCGGCGCTGCTACATCACCGGTAGCTGCTGCACTGCCTGATTGTGTTGTCACTGCTGTTGTTGGCTTCTCTACGACAATTATACCAGACGATTGCAATGGCATCATTCGCTATGCAGTACTTATGTATGTATTGTTAGTGCATCTGACAAAGCTGCGATTTGCACTACAATTATTTATTACTTCAAGAGAAGTATAAAAGGTGATGTATTTTTTTAAGCAACAAAGGTCAAATTTTAGATTTACTGTTTTTTCTTGAAAGCAAATTAAAATCCTTTATTAGAAATAAATTTTTGTGAATCCCGGTTACTCTTGTTTCGAAATTCACTCACTTAACTATTATCATTATTTAGGCCAGCCGCTTTTGCTATTCCTACCGCTGCTGCTGGAGGCGGTCCCCCACCCACATGGGGGCTTAATTCGTAACAAAATGTTATACGATTATTTTTGCTGTAATCTTTGTAGTGACTGGTGACTCTAATAATTGGTTGCAATGCTTTGTAGCAGGTGTATAATATTAGTGTGGCAGCTAATTTTACTGCTGCTAATTGTGCTGATGCTGCTTTTGCGGTTAGAAAAACGTTTGTGGCTTGGTAGTCGCGGGAATTTCTAATTGTTCTGACCATTACATTGTAAGCCATTACATCAGGGGACATTACTAAACTGCTGATTGTTTTTCTTTTATACACCGTGATTAATTTCCAGCGCTCTAACACTACAAAGACGTGTTTGCTTTTTTTTTTGGAGTAACTAGTAAATATCGATCCTACGATAATTGGTATTCATAAATTGCTTACCGTCGTGTGTTGATTAATTTTAATTGGAATTAGGAAAAGGAAAAGAAAATGTCACAACAACGTAGCCTACGTTAAGTCTGTGGCATTTGTGGATGCGTTTTCGATTCCGATTCCGTTTACGTTTCCTTGGTTTGCGGTTGAAGCGTCGTTTATTATTTGGCGATTCCACTGTCGTTGTTTTCTGGCTCAAAGGTTGCAGTTCACTTAAAATGTCTTTTAGACTAGTTATATGTATGTGGTTTATTTATATCGTTTTAGTGAATTTTTCGCTATTGCTCGATGTATTATTTTTTTTTGTTTTTGATTGCTGTAAAAGAGGGATAAGGAGAATATATAAATTATTAATTTTAGGGTAGATAATTCATATAATATTAAGTTAAACAAGTGTTGGGAGGAAATATTCAAAACGCCGATTTAATTAACATCCTCAATAGACGGGCTACACAATCGTAAGGACATAAATTTATGTATCTATATCTGGCCAAGAAGTGTCCCTTCCACATATTTCACAAGGTTTTTTTGTTAGAACAAAAATTTTTGCCAAAGCGCGACAAAAGCATGAAAAATTTACTCCCATGCAAGTCATATTGGAATTAAATTATGAATAACTATAAAATTTTACACGACCAGAAAATTTTTAGGAATGCATTTCTAAATATTTGTTCAAAAAGTAGTGAGAAAATGTCAGTGCCAAGAATATACAAAGCGAAGCGAGTAACAAAATATGGTTATGTACATATATATTGTTAAATGCATACATACATATATGTATAGATGCATGTACACTCAAAAGCGATAAAAAGACAAAGAAATAGGTGGCAAAAGTAACATAATAAATTTGGTCAAAACGAATGACAATGATAAAAATTAAAGAAAAAAGGAACTGTCAGGGAAGCGAGCAAGACACCAGTGAACTGCCACGAATATTGGACAAAAGACTGCGCAAGCAGAGAAGTAGCAAGCAAAACAAAATACACACAATTTTATTGATTCCATTGAAGTTGTTATGGCGCTTATGAATATGCTGGAAAAAGTATAGTTCAGAATGAGCCAGCTAGTGTGCAACATAAAAGGCAGAAAGGTATAGCAAAAATGATGAATATAATAATAAGGAAAAAAGTTGAATAGCCATAAAAAATAGAATGCTCAAAAACACGAAAAAATTAAAGTTACGAAAACTATCATCATCAGGCTACTATTATTAACAAATGAAATGTTTCAAAATGAATTTGCGATTAATTTAAAAAAAGAGCTATTCCCTTGAAACTCTGTACACTATGAAGAATCAGTCATCAATGCACCTTAAAAATGTACAACCACACTCACGCGTATGATTTGGGCGCTTGTTACGTAACACCATAAGTACGAGCAACTAGCCGAGTTGCACTGTTTACAGAACAAGCAAACAGAGGCGCGTTTTAGGAGATGAATAGGCGCAAATTCGATTAGGAGGTATGAGAGTGGCAGAATATACGTATAACATTGTTGTTGGTACAGTTGAAAAAAAGGGATGGGCGAATGGGCTTAGTCGAAATGAATATGTGGCAAGCTAGGGATTGGATTTATTTTACTTTGGACAACATATAAAAACACGTTTGTACATACATATATATATAGAGAAATATTTAACAAACATATACATATACACACTTTTAAATCAAACTTTAAATGCAGAAGGAATAACCTAAAAGAAAACAAAAAGAAAAATTCAAATCCGCAGCACAAATATCTAAGTGAGATGACGTAAATGAAATTAGAATGTACAAAAAAAAACTATTTTCGTCATAAATATGGATTGTGGTGGTGCTGCAGACCACAAGACAAGCCCAGCCTTTACAAAATTTACATAGTAATTCTTTCTGCCGCCTTAGCGAATGAACTCTCCTATTTTTCGAACGTACCAGAGTAGAAAAGTTTTAGTATGTATTATAAACTATAATAGACAACAATAAATATAAAATGCGAGTGGGTGGGTGGTTGATATGTACATAGTTGGTATTGGCGCATGCTCCTGTAACGTCAACAAAAATCCCCAGAACTATAACCACAAAACTGATTTTATATATGTACATACATACTATACATATATGTGTTCGTATGGAACAGTAGCTTATGTCGAAAGGCTGGCTTTAGTATAAAGCGTCAATCGCTGCATACGATTGCGAATGACTCACTGGCGCCGAGCCATTGAAAAACTTTTGGCAAATAAACGTGCAGAAAGTTCCGATATTAGCAAGTCAATATTCTCATTAAGTCTCATCAAAAAGTTCCTTGTCGTTTAAAGAATATAAGAAATGCCGCATTATAGTAAAGCCAGCTTCCCGACGTAAGCTACAATTCCATACGAACACAGATATGTACCTAAATTATTTAGAAGATTAATATATTATCCTTCAAATAATTCATGGTATACTGCGAGTATATGGAAATTATTAGTATACCGTGAACCCTAGATTAAGTAAATAGGGCGATAATAATTAGACCCTACAAACGACAAATTTATTATGTGTTGATGATATTTATAACAAATGCATACAAACGAAAGAAGCTGCAATATATAATTTGTGGTTATATATATGTAATTTAATGTACATACATATGTATTTAAATTTGCACTCGAAATTTGAAGTCTTGTGATATACTTCATCATTTATTATGGCTTGTTCTCTGAAATGCAATTTCTTAGATTGAAGCAAATACAATAAAAATTATGGAAAAATGCACAAAAAATGCTTCCATTTACACATTTTCTCTCAATAAGTATCACTCAAAAAAGGTTCCGCAATTATTTTACTTTTACATAAATTCAAGCAGCCACAGTAGGCACCGATTCGCTAGCGAGAAAACGATACATTGTATGTACGCATAGTAGAAAAATGCAACCAACATGGCCGAGAAAAACAAGAGCCATAGAATGGAAGACAAAATAATAATATGTACCTACCAATAGAAGGAGAGCAAGGGGCATAAGAAAATATATATTTTTTCTCAATCAGGCAATCGACTAGCCAAACAACAAACAAGCCTTCAACTAAATGGGTGCCTAGTCTCTACCAGTCAGTTAGTTGCACTTGCTGCAACCAACACAATGATATTGCGATGCTTTGTTTACTCTGACAACAGCATACAGTGCCATTACATGCAACGCCGTCGCCGTCTTCTGGCCATAATCCATCGCAACCGATGTTGTTCACCTCTTTAGCCCACTCCCTCAACACCATACTTCGCCGCTCTTGCTAACGAGTAATGAAAAAATAGCAATAATGCATAAAGTATGAACCAAAGGCAGCCAGCAACTCTTGGTTCTTTGCTATGCCAATCCTCAATTTTCTTTAAGTTGCTTAAAATGTTTCTATATTGCCTCACAGATTTTTTTCTGCACATACTATAGTTTTATGTAGCTATGAAAGTAGATGCATTTTTTTTGTTTTACACAGTACCCATTCTGTTTCTCAATGTCGGCCGATTCGTTAGTTGAAAAGCTAGAACCGAAGAGGCGAGATTTCGTTCTTTTGATGTTTTTCTTATCTTGTCGTTCGTTCAAACTGTGCAAATTTTGGTCTAATAAATTGTTGCGAAAGTAAAATTACTTAGCAGCAATACAATTTATTTTTAAAAGCTCGTTGTACATAAAATAGAATTACAAAATATGCTACGCCAAATGTGAATGCATTAATATATTAAATGAACACCGCTAAGACGGCTAAGAGCGCCAGTTGTTTCGTCAATATTTTATTTATTTTAATATTTATTGGAGATGTTTTATATGTGTACATACAGCTGCGGCCAATAAGATAGGAGCGAAATTCAAAGTGGTATGGAACTCAACTAATAACAAGGTGTTGTCAGTTAAAGTAGTAGAAAAGGTAGTAATTATTTACAACTTTTAATCCGTTGGTGCATACTATTTCAAAATAAATATAAAAAAAATGTTTAATTACAGGCTTATAAGCCTGAATATATGTTTGTATCGGCAGCTCCACACAGGTTGGGACATATATTGTAAGTTAAAAAAAGTAGAGGCAGTAAAATAAGGCAATTTCCTATAAGACTAAATGATTTTTTAAATAGATTCAAACGCATATATATCGATATAATAAGCGAAATCGTAATTTAACCATGCTGCCACTCTATTTCAGTGTAACAGTAGTCCATTTGGCTCGATGTTGTGGCAATGCAGCAAAAGTTATTTAATATAAAAAATCGCCTTTCCATACGTACATACGTCATTTTCCATTGATAACCACAATATCTTTTATATTTTTTTTACATTTTGAGGACAAAAATTATAGAAATCCAGCAATTTTAGATATTAATATCGTTCTGAAAACACGAAGTTATTTAAAAATCGCCACAAAACGGATTACTAAAAAGGAGTATTTTAGATACTATTTCCCAACGAATAGAAGTATACAAATTAAGATCGGCAGCACTGAAAATAAGCATGCCGATCTTGTCAAAATTGCAACAAACACGTCGCTACTGACAACACCTACTTATTATTCCACCATGTTTTCAAATTATGTTTATTTACTTTTAATATAATTTTCATTTAAAATATAGTTCGATCTATAACAAAAAACACATAAATAAAAGCAAGGCGAATTAATATAAGGTGCTAGCAGGAGTACAAAAACAAAAATTTACATGTATTTTGTTTTTGCAAAATGTAGGGACTGTACCGCCATAATTTTTCAGTCAGTCGTCACACAGCATTAAAACTCGTGTGGCATTTGCGACAGCTTATTATTATTATTGTTGGACCTTAAGAACATTCTTCTAAGATGTGCTGCGCAGTCTCGTTATGCGTCCTGCAAAATCTGTATCGCTCATGCGAGTAAATTCTCAGTTTAGTCAGGTGATAGTTCAACCAGCAGTGTCCCGTCGGAATTACGTCGGAATTACTGTAAAAATTCTTAAGTTATTCTTTGATAAGCTCATACATTTTTTTAAGCGTTTTAGGTTATATGTCCCTAATAGTGATTTGGGCTGCTCAAGGCCTTGGAAATTATCCCAGTAGCGATTTTTTTGAGCCTCTTCCTCTAACCAAACAAGGGCAGAAAGTGACCCTTTTCCCCAAGCCACAGAAGGGCTCTGGGCCGGTGTCGCTAGTTGTTTGCGACAACTTACTAAATGAGCTTTTTTTTAATAAAATTTTGTAGTCAAAAATGAATTTACTTGTTGCACGCAGTGTTATAAGATGTACGCCTCGAAGGTTTCTTCTCCTTGGGTATAAGCAATTACATACTTTTAATCTTCACGCATTCAACATAAAAATTGTATGCCTATGGTATGCATGTGTACGCC